GCTATTATCTTGTGTTTAATTATTTTCTGATCAATTGCAGTAGCGACATTTTTGCTTCAAAAACTTGCTCGTAGGCATACATTAAAGGGAGTGTTGTGAGGACTAAACCCCAGGTCCACAGTATGGTGAGAAGCAGCGTGTTGCTTGGTGGATGTCAATCAAGAGTGAATGCAAGAATGAAGGGGGGAGGGAGTGTTCTGAGGACTAAACCCCAGGTCCACAGTATGGTGAGAAGCAGCGTGTTGCTTGGTGGATATCAATCAAGAGTGCATGCAAGAATGAAGGGGAGGAGGGGGCCTAAGAACTTAACCCCAGGTAGCGTGGTAGGTAGACAGCGTGTTGCCCAGTGGATGTCATTGGCGTTCATTCAAGGGGATCGAAGCAAGAACTCCAGCTTAATAATTAGTGAGAAGATTAATTTTATTGTGTATATTAGACGATTTGGATGTAAACTTATAAATTATTTGAGTACAATTAAAAAGACATCTTTCCCTTAGAAACTGAAAGACTACATACGTGAATACCTTGTATTTAACTTCATTAATTTAGGTTTATAAATATTGAAGTTGTGATATCTATTTACTTTGATCACCGGATACGTTTTGTACCACAATCCTTTGCGAAATCATGTAACAACGAATGAATTTCATTTCGTGTCTTGAGGCCCCCTAGGTTATATCAAATTTGTACAAAATCCCATCATATTGGCAAGTGTTCTTCGCTAAGTTTTTGATTGTTTTGGAGTATTTTTGATGGAGTCCTAGCGACGGATATTGGGAAGAGTTGGGACTGCGCTAAGACTGTTACCTCGTGTCGAACGCAAATGGAAAAATAATTTTTTGCTCAAGACTAGCCTCGACTTTGTGCAGAATATTTATGATTTTCAGCAAAGATCCATCCGTGGAATTTCAAAGTGTTCGTATTGTTGAAGCTGTGCATTCTTTACTTTACCGTTGGAATTTGTGAATATTTAGACACTGATACGAGGCTAACCCTGAGTAAATGAGTCTGTGATCAAGGAATACAGTGGTAATTTGAAACTCGAAAATGGTCTGTTCCCTTTGAAAAGGCGACGTTTTCACCACAGACATTCGCGGTCGTCCTTTTAGCTTCCACAAAGGATTACTGGCAATAAATTTTAATTATTGTTATAATAAATGTATAATGGTTTAATAGTTGTGGCAAAAGTATCACAGTTTTAGGATATTATAATTGATTGATTCGTTGGAATTAAGAGTTTTGTATACACCTACTTGCAAGAACGTTGTCATACGAAAATAGAACATTAGTGATTTAGTGAGATAGGAATTATATTAAAAAACAAAAGAAGATCACTGAAGCTGAACGTTTTTCTTTTCTTTTAATGTATTCCTTTCTCACTAAATCACTAATATTATAATATTCTTGCAAGTAGGTGTATGAACTTTAATACTTCTACAGTTTATTGCTTTTGACTGGAGCATCATCCTCGGGGTTGCACTAAATAGCTACGAAGCTAATAAACTTGTGGCCCTCATTTTCGCTTCATTTTAGCGTTTTTTGTGTGTGAGCAATTTGACATGGAAATATGTCACGACTTACAAAAAGAGCCCTTGTTCTGGTGATCACTACTTGAGTGCGAAGTTCACGATTAGCTTTCCTTTAACCTCACCCCCAGTCCAATAAACATCGCAATTAATTGAATACATGCATCAAGAGTTCGGCGCTACTGCTCTAAGCGCATGCTCAAGGGGTTAAAAAAATGGGATCAGGGGTTGTCAAAATTTTTCAAGAATTTTATTTTTCTTATCAAGCACAATTTCCATTAAATATTCGCGAGCAAGTAGCATTAAGCTCAGTTATACCAAAATATTGCAATTTTCAATTTTTACAAAATGATATAATCCCACTTTTTGACTCTTTGAAGCACGCGCTTAGGGCAGTAGCGCGGAGCTCTTGATACATGTATAGATGAAGATATTTTTGAACTAAACTACAGTAGTATATCGGTAGAAAACGCCTGTCTATTGATATTCTTAAGGTATAAAATATTGGAAGTGGAAAATTTTGCCTGAAATGACAAATAAATCCTCGACAAACCCAGAAAATGTTGCAAGGAAATACCTCTATATTATTACAAATAGTAAATAATATATATTATCATTATTATTACAAATAGTTTGATTGTTAGTTTGTCCCCTTTGGATCTACCCTGGGTTCAAAATACCCTTTCGCTCCAGTCCTTCTCGGACGTAGCTTACGTTTTCGCTGGTCGTACGCACATACTACAGTGCTCATTAGCGAAATCGTAGGCTCTGAGAAACCCTAAAGCCTGAATCTTGCGACCAGGTCGACAGAGCGCGTGTGCTCAGTTTGTTTGTTATGCATATTAAATAGTATAAGAAATCGAATGGTTCGAGCGTAGTTTGAAAAAAATRTCACGAGTGCAGCTCAAAATCAAGATTTCTAAATTGAAAATTTTGATTTTAAAACTGCACTAGTGATATATTTTTCAAATTGCACGAGAACCCATTTGATTTTCTTTTAATAAAATGACCATCATTTTTTTTTTGATCAAAGAATTTTATGATTTTTTTTTTTTTTTTGCACAGTTATTTTGCTTTTTTGTAAAGTGTAAGGGCGGATCCAGCCAAAATTTTAAGGGGGGGGGGCTAATTGAGTTTAGGGGGGCTAATTGAGTTTCTTCCGTCAACGCAACAGAAAACAATATAAAAAAGCATCGTTTTTTTTCTGCTGAAGGGGGGGGGGGGCTTCAGTTCCCCTTTGCCCCCCCTGGATCTGCTCTTGAAGTGATTTCAATAAAATTTAAACTAATAGCAGACCAATCACGATCGAGAATTATTGATGGTCATATCATTAGCTTATTAACATATTTCTGTACTAAATGGTAGGCAATGGTTTTGGAATATAAAATAGTAGTTCTTAACACCTCCTTTCCATATTCCAACTTAAAAATAGCGCCTTTGTCAACCCGCTCATCCAATCAGATCACGCGAATTGTTAGGTTTTACCACAGCCTTCGATTTTCTATGGAATGAAAAGAGTCTGGAGACGAGAGCGTTTCCTAGGCTAGGACCGGGAGGTAATGGGGCGAGAGAGCATGGAACCCAAGGGACTATGGAATAGATTAATAAATATCTTTAGCATGACGTTCTAGCTTGGTACCGCAAACCTCAAACTGCAGTTCGACGTCAGGCGTTTTCCCACAAACTTTCTACATTTAGCAAGGCGTCATAACGAAGTTGTTACTGGAAAAGCCGCCATATTGAATTCCATTGCTGTTTAGTGTTTGTACGTGTTTGTGGGAGTTTTTCTGGGCCTGATCCCTAGCAGTAAGAGGTTAGTGGTAAACCTGATTCTAAATGTTTTTATAAAATAAGTGTTCCAAATCTCGCGTTCTGATTGGTTGGGAGCGCGTGCTTTACGAGAGCACAAAGCACGCGCGCGCACTTACAGTTTTGTCATTCCTGTAATTTGTATTTTATAAAAGAAATCAAAAACTTTCTTGGTGTGCTGTGTGGAATTATATAGCACTTGGGGATTGGCAGAACGCTCGAGAAGTTTTGAGAAGCACTCCGCTACGCGCCATACTTCCCYTAACACTTCTTTCGTGTTCTCAACCCACGTGTGCTTTATGACTGCACACAGCACGCGCGCGCGTTTTCTATTTCTCCACTAGTGAAAGATATGAATCTACTGATATAAATATAATGGTACTATGTTATACCAAATTCTAATATATTAAATACTTCAAAGACCCATTTAGTTTGATGCAACGTCTCAAAGTCTTTCGAAATCTACTTATAAGTTATGGTAATGAAAGAATTCAAAATAATGGTCTTAGGGAGGGATCCGGTGGTATAAGTATCGGGTGCTCGATATAAGTGCCCGCATTGACTACTTCTATACGAAAATCCATACATTGTATATAACCCTTGCATGAGATGTCCAAGCAGCTCAATTTGGAGTACAAAACAAAAGAATCTCAATCTTCTGACAATTGGAAACCTATTGTTTTGCCCTCCAAATTGTGCTGCATTCCGAAGTGCTGCAAGGGGTCAGCCCGAATACAAATATTTTGACTTCATTCCTTTTAGTATATATCACATGTAATGTAAGGATATGACGGATATTTAAGTTAAATAGTGATTTAAGAACTATTTTATGTAGAATGTAATGTTGAATAGATCTTTCCCGAATAGGCCGTCTGCATGATGGCGTCATTTTACTACCGCTACTAAAATGCTTTGCGAATTTTCTTTCTTATTTAAATAAGCCCTTTGCAGCTAACGGTCACATGTCTGTACTGGAGAGCAAAATTTTTGTTTTTATTTTAAATTGGTGATTCTTTTTAGCTACTTGTAAAGAACTTAACGAAGCGATGTGTAACCAGTGTGTCAGGTAATACGATTTTTATACAATCTCTCGAAACAGGTTGTAGAAAGTTTGTTTGCTCACCAGTATATTTCACCCATGGGAATCAAGATGTTCATTCATTTGCTCTCAGTGAGTTAATCAGCACGTGATTACTGAGCTGCAAAGGGCCTATTAACTAAACGAAAGAAAGTGTGCAGGGGAGTCTTCTCTGGTCTGATCTAAGTCAGGCCACGTCTAAATCCCAGCTCACAGATCAAACCCTGAAACAACCTCTGTGCTGATCTAAGTCAGGGCACGTCTAAATCCCAGCTCACAGATCAAACCCTGAAGCAACCTCTGGGCTGATCTAAGTCAGGGTATGGCTACGACAGATTGAATTTRAATTTAGCTTGGAACAAAGAGAAAACCCCACGAATCAATTGAGAGGCCTAACAAACTCATATGTGATGCCGAGTTCAGTAATCTAACACGCGACCCCAGAAGTGAGAGGCAAGTGCAATGTCCATATTTGGTAAAAGTTACTGACACGTGACATTCATACTTAATTCTGCCCTTGGCTAATTTTGCTGTAAATTTTGCAATAAGTCTTTAAAGTAATAAAGTGTATACCATAAATCTGTGAAAAATTTAACTAACAAAATTGTAAGAATTAGCTCAATGTTTTGTAGGTATACGGTCTATATCACAGGAAAAAAACCGGATTCCCACATTGGGAGTTTGTTGGGAATTTCCTTGAATTCCCAACGAATTCCCATCCAATTCCCAGAGAGAATGAAATTGAGAACGTAGCACTGATTCCCAATGTTAGTTTGTTGGGAATTTTGTTTTTCTATTGGGTATTAGAAGGAAATTCCCAACATTGGTGTTTGCATTGGGGATTCAAGGAAATTCCCAACAATTCCCAATTTGGGAATCCGGTTTTTTYCCCTGTGTACTGCCAGCTAATCTAAAATAATGACAAAAAAAATACGYGATCACTGCAAAGCTGAGGTGTCATGAAGACTGTGAAAATTGACCAGAGAAAAATAAAAACCTGTCGGCCATTGCAATAAAGATATGAACCTCATTGGTTATTGTGTTACTAACGTCTTTTCTTCATTTGCTGACCTGGAAATCCATAATTTTAAGAAAAACGTGACACCTCAGTTTTGCAAATTTTCTCGCTTCTGATTGGYTATCATTTTCTCTCAGATCAGCTGGTGAGGTCTGCTGAACTTACTAATTTGTGTAATTCCTTACAACGTTTTTCAAGGATATATGTAAAGCACTCTATGAAATCCTTATTTGGTCAAATCCTCGTTATGGTCTTATTTGGTCAAATCCTCGTTATGGCCTTATTTGGCTCGCTATGCCCAACCAAAATCTAATAACATAATATTAAACTAATAATAATTATAAGATTTTAAATCAATCCGACCTTGTCGTAGTGTGACGTTGTCACACTAATAAATAGATATTTAATATAATTGCTTTGAATAGAAAAAAGCAATCAGTTCTAAGATTGATACACAAGTAATCATAATTATTTAATACAATAATAATAATAATAGTATAATAATAATATATTATATAATATTATATATTGGTTCCTCCACTCATAACTACTGCAATTTTCAATAGTATGAAAACTCAGTGTTTGCAAGTTGCCTGTAAGAATGTTTTCTTTGAGGCCGCCAGTTGAAAAAACAAAAGGTACTGACTGATATTTTTGATAAACCGATTTGGCCAACGCAATGTTTTACCCAATTCAAATCTATTGGGGAGACTTTTGTTTGTCCATTACCTTTGCATGTCAATGAAGAATGATATGGATATATGTAAATATAAAAGACAAAGAAAAGTTGAATTGAATTGGGTAAAATATTGTGTTAGTCAAATTGGACTACTGATGGAAGTGAAGAATAAAATTGTCAGTGCGCAACTGGCAGGTACGAGTTTGCAATATATTAAAAACTGCAATAAATGAAGGTCAGTACTCATGGTATAGGTCTTGAAGTAGATTTAAGACCAAAGTACTATATATGTGCATTAGAGTTTGCATCTTCAGAGACCCAGGACGAAAGAGGGGATTGGGGCGAGGAGAGATCAGGGGAGTGGGGCGAGGAGAGATTGGGGGAGTGGGGCGAGGAAAGATGAGAGGAGAGATCAGAGGAGTGGGATGAGGAGAGGTCAAAGGAGTGGGGTGAGGAGAGATTAGAGAAGTGGAGTGTGTGAAAAGGATGTCACTAGCGTGCACCCTTCTCTCTTCCAGGGCTGCAGAGATAGAAGGACATGACAAGAAACAGTGTTAAGCCTGGGTCTTTGAGGCTTTGTGCTCACATACACAGTCTTTACAACAGTAACAGTGTTGCCATGACAACTGTTAGACTGATGATCATGCTGTACCCTTATGATCTATAGTAAGACCCAATTGAATGTAAGCGTAAAACGATCGCAGTGATATGAAGTTTCCTGGGTGTATACCTTATATGCAACTCTAGAACTGGGCTTCCTGTGTAAAGTCTCATCCACAGGAACTCCACAAAGAGTCTTGCAACACTTACCAGTGTAACTTACGGCATTCCAGGAATTACTTCCTTGAGTCAAATAATGTCTTCTTTGGGACTTGCGGACTGTCCAGTATTTCACTCTCGCTTTCTGTATCGGACAACTGTGCGAGTTCTAGTTTGTTGATCAAGTTATTAGGTGTGCTTTCCTTTTCTTCTTGGACGAGAAGACAGGTTCTATCACCATTGCTGGTTTCAGAGAGATTGTCGGATTGTCGTTTGTTTGACAACAAGATCAGCTGTAGTTTTTCGCAGAGCTTTTTGAAACGATGGGCAGGACCTAAATAAATTCATATTTGGCATTAGAAAAGTCATGTTTATACAGGCTTACCAGACTAAGTATCCGGGGTTGGAGTGGGAACCCTGTGGCTTTATGATTGTTGAACTCAATCTCTTACCCAGACCCTACTCATTAGTCAAATCAGAAAAATAACTTTTACCAAAGAAATTTTAAATTTAACTACCATTGTTCATTAACACCTCAGCATTTCCACATACTAACCTAAAAATAGAACCTACTTTAACAACCCAATCAGCCAATCAGATGACTTGAAATTCTAGAGTTTTCCAGAGACTACGATTTTTAGTGAAATGAGTAGTCTCTGGGTACGAGAATTCATTGAACTTAATGGTGTCCAATTTTACTACATATAATAGCTCCATGAAAAGGTCAAAAATAAATATGTGAAATTTGTGAGATCAAGGTAAATTAACTCACACGAAGCCACTGGATTCCCACCCGAACCCACAGATACCTAATCTGGGAAACCTCTGATGTGACCAGAACAAGAATTCATTTGAATGAGAACGGTTAACCAATGTCTTTCACAGCATAAGATTTCCTTGGAGCTTGGGTTTTATGCTAATTCTGAAAGGGAAGATTTATTTTATAGAGTGAAAATCCAGCGCTTACCTGACTCAAGTGTTATCGAGACTGTGTGAACATCACAGCTCATATCAGCTGCATCTTTCACTGGAGCTATTTCAACCAAGATTCTGACTGGCTTTTTGAACATAGTTTTGCCTTAAAAATAAGTGAATACAAAACAATGAAATAGGATGGATGGATGGATGGATGGATGGATGGATGG